AAAAAAAAAAAAAAAAAAAAAAAAAGGAGTGGGGGGGGGGGGGGACCAGTGCAGAGGAAATGTGTGAGAATCAAAGTGGAATAAGTTTCCATAAACGGACTGAAAAGTATAATGAAGCATTAAGTTAAAGTCTAATCCAGTAGAAAATAAGAATTATTGACTTTATGAAGAATATAACAAAATGCTTAGGCAAAGTCTAAGAACATAAGAGAAGCCAACGTTGGATCAGGCCAAAGGCCCATCCAGTCCAACACTCTGTGTCACACAGTGGCCAGAAATACCAGGTGCCGACGTTCAGTGGAAGCTCTTAAGTTTGTGCCCCTGGCTAGAAAGGATAAGTAGTTAAGAGGGGGGGGGGGGAGAAAATAAGAAAAGGCAGAATAATATGTGAGAAACATAACCATCCAAGTTATACTAAAACTCCCCACCTCTGATTACAGAACAGAAATAATCTTCGGTGACGAATCTAAAGAGAAAAAGGAAGAAGAAAAGTATGAAGGACGGGAAGAAATGGAGGAAGCAAGGAAGACAGAAGGAGGACTTATATAAAGGACTGTTGCCGAAGATACAGAAACAGCTATAAACTGAGGAGGGAGGAGGGAGGGCAGAGTATACAATACATGTGGGAATAAGGATGTGCTTGATTGTAACATGGAAAAAATATATTAAAAAAAAAAAGAAATACCAGGTGCCATCAGGAGGACCAGCAGTGGGGCCAGGACACTAGAAGCCCTCCCACTATGGCCCCCCAAGCACCAATAATACAGAGCATTACTGCATCAGACATAAGGGCATCAGAGAAGCCAATGTTGGATCAGGCCAGTGGCCCCTCCAGTCCAACACTCTGTGTCACCCAGTGGCCAAAAACACCAGGGGCCCTCAGGAGGTCCACCAGCGGGGCCAGAACTCCAGAAGCTTAAAGGTCTGCCTGTCCTGATTCCAACTGAGCATTCTCTGAGCCCAGCTCTCCCTTGCCTCCAAAGGCACAGTTTGGTAACGAGTGCTTATTCAAGGTTTAATATCCATGGCCAGTAGGGTGCACGGGAGCTGTCGTTTCCAGTGAGTCCCAGTCCCTTTCAAGGAACCGAGAGAGAACAGAGCAAGAATCCCACATCTCCCAGTTTCACTGGATGTGCCCGAGAATGCTCAGATGTCGCGATTGAGACTTTCAAGACCTCCACCCTCACCGCCCATCTCTCCTTGCTGCAGACCCCTACATACACACAACTGACAAGGAGCAGCTTGTCTGAGAAAAGGGCAGGGAGAGCTGGTAGGGAACTCCCACCTTACAAGTACAAGCGTTTTCAGTAACGATGACAAACCCCCTGAGTTTTCCCGAAAGTCTTACAGAAGAAGAAGAACAGATTGGATGTATACCCCGCCCTTCACTACCCAAGGGAGTCTCAGAGCGGCTTACAACCTCCTTTCCCTTCCCCTCCCCACAACAGACACCCTGTCCGGTAGGTGGGGCTGACAGAGCTCTGAGAGAATTGTCCTTGAGAGAACAGCTCTAACAGAACTACAGCTTGCCCAAGGTCATCCAGCAGCTGCAAGTGGAGAAAGAGAAGAAGAAGAGAAGAGATTGGATTTATACCCCGCCCTTCACTACCCAAAGGTGTCTCAGAGCGGCTTACAACCTCCTTTCCCTTTCCCTCCCCACAACAGACACCCTGTGAGGTAGGTGGGGCTGAAAGAGCTCTGAGAGAATTGTCCTTGAGAGAACAGCTCTAACAGAACTACAGCTTGCCCAAGGTCATCCAGCAGCTGCAAGTGGAGAAAGAGAAGAAGAAGAGAAGAGATTGGATTTATACCCCACCCTTCACTACCCAAAGGAGTCTCAGAGTGGCTTACAAACTCCTTTCCCTTCCCCTCCCCACAACAGACACGCAGAAGGTCCCAGGTTCAATCCCCGGCAGCATCTCCAGTTAAAAAGGACCAGGCAATAAGTGATGGGAAAGACCTCAGCCTAAGACCCTGGAGAGCCGCTGTCGGTCTGAATAGACAAGACTGACCTTGATGGACCAAAGGTATGATTCAGTAGAAGGCAGCGTAGAATCAGACCTTTGGTCCTTCTACTGAATCAGACCTTTGGTCCATCAAAGTCAGTCTCATCTACTCAGACCCGCAGTGGCTCTCCAGGGTCTCAGGCTGAGGTCTTTCCCGTCACCTCCTGACCGGTGTTCCCTCTAAGCTGAGAGAGTGCGAACCTGGGACTTTCTGCATCCTGAGCAGACGCTCTACCACAGAACCACAGCCCTTCCACTAAACAGGTATGTTGAAAAGCGTTTCCATTTTCATCAATCCGCAATGCTTATTGTGAACATACAAAGCTGCCTTCTGCTGAGTCCATCGAGCTCAGTCTTGTCTACTCGGACTGGCAGCAGTTCTTTGGGGTCTCAGGTGGAGGTCTTTCTCATCACCTACTGCCTGGCCCTTCTTAACTGGAGATGCTGCTTGGGATTGAACCTGGGACCTCCTGTATGCCAAGCAGAGGCTCTACTGTTGAGCCACTGTCCCGTCCCTGACCATCTCAAACACACGTGAAACTGTGTTATGCTGAATCAGAGCCTTGGTCTATCAAGGTCAGTATTGTCCACTCTGACTGGCAGCAGCTCTTTGGGGTTTCAGGCGGAGGTCTTTCCCATCACCTACTGCCTGGCCATTTTTAACTGGAGATGTTGCTTGGGATTGAACCTGGGACCTCCTGTATGCCAAGCAGAGGCTCTACTGTTGAGCCACTGTCCCGTCCCTGACCATCTCAAACACACGTGAAACTGTGTTATGCTGAATCAGAGCCTTGGTCTATCAAGGTCAGTATTGTCCACTCTGACTGGCAGCAGCTCTTTGGGGTTTCAGGCGGAGGTCTTTCCCATCACCTACTGCCTGGCCATTTTTAACTGGAGATGTTGCTTGGGATTGAACCTGGGACCTCCTGTATGCCAAGCAGAGGCTCTGCCACTGAGCCACAGCCCCTCTTTACAGCTCTCCAGAGTCTCAGGCAGAGGGCTTTCCCCTCACCTCCTGCCTGGTCCTTTTAAACTGAAGATGCCAGGGGTTGAAACTGGGACCTCCTGCATGCCAAGCAGAGGCTCTGCCACTGAGCCACGGCCCCTCTTTACAGCTCTCCAGGGCCTCAGGCAGAGGTCTTTCCCATCACCTCCTGCCTGGCCCTTTTTAACTGGAGATGCTGATTGGGATTGAACCTGGGACCTTCTGTGTGCCAAGCTGAAGCTCTGCCACTGAGCCACAGCCCCTCTTCACAGCTCTCCAGGGTCTCAGGCAGAGGGTTTTCCCATCACCTCCTGCCTGGTCCTTTTAAACTGGGCACCACACCTTAAAAAGGATATTATAGCTTTGGAAAAAGTGCAGAAAAGGGCAACTCGAATGATAAAAGGGTTGGAACACTTTCCCTATGAGGAAAGGTTAAAGCGCTTAGGGCTCTTTAGCTTGGAGAAAAGACGACTGAGGGGTGACATGATTGAGGTTTATAAGATTATGCATGGGAAAGAGCAGGTAGAGAAAGAGGTACTTTTCTCCCTTTCTCACAATACAAGAACCCGTGGGCACTCCATGAAATTGCTGAGCGGTCGGGTTAGAACGGATAAAAGGAAGTACTTCTTCACCCAAAGAGGGATTAACACTTGGAATTCACTGCCACAGGAAGTGGTGGCAGCTACAAGCATGGACGGCTTCAAAAGGGAATTAGATAAGCATATGGAGCAGAGGTCCATCAGTGGCTATTAGCCACAAGGTATAGCTAGGGGCTCTGGGGCAAGTGATGCTCTGTCTTCTTGGTGCTTGGGGGGGGGTCAACAGTGGGAGGGCTTCTAATGTCCTGGCCCCACTGCTGGACCTCCTGATGGCACTGGTATTTCTGGCCACTGTGGGATACAGAGTGTTGGACTGGATGGGCCTTTGGCCTGATCCAACATTGGCATCTCTTATGTTCTTATGTTCTTATGTTCTCCTGTGGCCCAATGGATCCAGGACCAGTCCTGGACCTGTACAGTGTATCTTTTGTTGTTGTTGGCTGTTTGTCTAAATTACATTCACATTTCTTTTTAAGCGGTCTGGAGCTGCCAGGGGGAAGAAAAGCGAGATAGCAAAGCATAAATAAATGTTTCCACAATAGATGCCAGATCCCAAAGCTTCTCTCAAATTTAGCTTGGCAAATCTACAGGCCAAAACAAAGATCAGGGAACTCTATCCACATGTCAAAGGTAAATCATGCTGGCACAGCTTGGATTTGGACTGGGGCCACTTGTGGATGAGAGAGTTTTAACCATTAAATCCTTCTTTGTTAACTCTTGCATTTACCTGCCCATTTGCTTCCATCCATTGATCTTACCGGCCACCTGATCCAGTTTCAGCTCTGCCTGTGCCTCTGGGCTCTGAGTGGCCCCTCCGAACGGCTGTAAGCAGCCCTGGAGATCTTATTCCAGTTTGTCTGAAGAAGTGTGCTTTTCACACGAAACCTTACACTTTGAGTAAAACTTTGTTGGTCTGAAAGGCGCCACTGGACTCCAACTCTGTTCTGCCGCTTCACTGGTCCTTTTTAAGTGGAGATGCTGCTGGGGATTGAACCTGGGACCTCCTGCATGCCAAGCAGGTGCTCTGCCACTGAGCCACAGCCCCTCTCTACAGCTCTCCAGGGCCTCAGGAGGAGGTCTTTCCCATCACCTACTGCCTGGTCCTTTCAACTGGAGATGCTGCCAGGGATTGAACCTGGGACCTCCTGCATGCCAAGCAGAGATTCCTCCACTGACCTACGGCCCCGCCCTATTGGCGACCCTGCGTTTCTCCCATTGTCTTCGTGGACTGGCACAAGCTGCCTAATAGCCAGTGAAGAGAGATGTGTAAAGGTTCGATCGAAGTCCAGAAATGGCCACCGGGAGAAGAAGGAGGAGAGGGGAGCCTCCGGGAGAAGCGGCGGCATCCGTCCGGAAGATGTGGAGCTTCCTGAAGTCCGTCTGGAATGTCCTGGCGTCTTCGAAGGCGTCGCGAGCGGCCAGAGAAAAGTTGGCGTCCCCCGAAGTCACCACGTCGAAGACGCACGCCTGGAAGTAGACGTCTTCCGTGGGCAGCTTCCCTCGGCACAGGCGGCGGGCCTTCTCGACGGCCGGGTCTGGGCGGCCGTGGCAACAGGCACTGCGAGAGAGGCGCTGGCTGGGCGGGCAACCCCCCACGCACAGCTGCAGGTCCTGCTCCTCGGTGAAGGAGGAGGCCACCTCCTCGGCCGCCCGGATGGAGAAGGAGAGCTGCTCCCCCGCCTGGCGCACCGCGATGGTGGTGCCGATGTACGTCGCTCGGATCTCCACGTGGCGCCCAGGGGAGCGCTCGCGGATGGCCAGGCTGTTTCCTCCGGGCCTCTCGCCGCCATTCGTCGAGCCGTCCGCAAAAGCCGCCGGCAGGTCGCCGATCTCCGCCTGGTACACCTTCTGATCGATGCACTCCTTCACGTCCTTGAAGATGATGGTCAGCTGGAAGGAAATGCAGGCGAGACGCTCAGAGCACAGCCAAGGTAGTGAAGCGGGACCTCCGACAAACACACACGTGCAGAGGGATCATGGAACCACACAGAGCTGGAAGGGGCCACAGAGAGCCAGTTTGGTGCAGTGGTTAAGTGCGCGGACTCTAATCTGGGAGAACCGGGTTTGATTCCCCACTCCTCCACTTGCACCTGCTGATGTGAACTTGGGTCAGTCACAAGCTCTGGCACAGCTGTCCTTGAAAAAGAGCAGTTTATGCCAGAGTTCTCTCAGCCCCACCCACCTCACAGGGTGTCTGTTGTGGGGAGGGGAAGGGAAAGGAGTTTGTAAGCAGCTCTTAGACTCCAAGTGAAGGGTGGGGTATAAATCCAATCTCTTCTTATTCTTCTTCATCTAGTCCAGGGCTATCTTTGGGCAGGAACGCACAGGAACGGAGTTCCGGCTGGCTCCTGAGTTGGACACGCCCAGCAGGAACTCATTAGCATAATAGGCCACACCCAACAGCAGGAACTCATAAGGATTGGCTACATTAGGGGTGTGTGGCCTAACATGCAAAGGAGTTCCTGCTACAAAAAAAAGTCCTGGGTTTGGACAACAAACGAGGTAGAATCAGAAGCAAAAGGTGGGTGTGGCTGGATGACCATACTTTTGGCAACACGGGGCTGCGGCCTAATATGCAAATGAGCGGTGGCGGCAGGGTGTGGCCTAATATGCTAATACGTTTCAGCTGTTGGGTGTGGCCTGTTATGCTAATGAGTTCCTGCTGGGCTTTTTCTACAAAAAAAGCCCTGTCGAGCACCATGTTGAGCACTAAAATTGGGGATTCCAAAACCACAGGATAAGAAGGAGAAAACTTCAAGTTTGCACCTGGTGCGGAAAAATCTACTGCGGGAAATTTCACATACACAGTTTTAAAAAACGTCAAAGTGGGGGATTTCACGACTGCAGAAATGACCTTAATTTCCCCGGGAAAGAGAACGTGTCACCACACACCAGCCCCCACCTCTTGCTTCCTCAGGTGGTCCCTGTCAAGATGAATTGACATGACAAAGATGGATTGGCTCGATAAAGGAACTGATGGATTGACTCAGGAGAGGAAGCCAAGGCCTTCTGTTTGCAAGACCTGAGCAAGGCTGTTAACAACAGAACATCTTGGAGGCCACTCATTGGCAGGGTTGCCATAAGTCAGAAGAGCACATGATGCACAACTGTCAAGTGAACTTATACCACCGACCTCCAGGAAGCTGAGACTAGTGTTAATGGCTCCGTTTCTCTGCAACCCCCGCCCAAAAAAACTTCCTTAAGTTCAAGCCAAAGGAGGGTTGGCAACCCCAAAGCATAAGAACATCAGAAGCGCCCTGCTGGATCAGACCAGTGAATCAGACCAGTGGATCAGACCATCATCTAGTCCAGCACCCTGTGTCACACAGCAGCTAACCAGTTCCTCTGGAGGGCCAAAAGCAGGGCACAGAGGCTGAGGCCTTTCCCTGAGAAGAACATCAGAAGAGCCCTGCTGGATCAGACCAGTGAATCAGACCAGTGGATCAGACCATCATCTAGTCCAGCACCCTGTGTCACACAGCAGCTAACCAGTTCCTCTGGAGGGCCAACAACAGGGCACAGAGGCAGAAGCCTTCTTAAGAACATCAGAAGAGCCCTCCTGGATCAGACCAGTGAGGGACCATCTAGTCCAGCATCCCATCTCACACAGTAGCCAACCAGTTCCTCTGGAGGGCCAACAACAGGGCACAGAGGCAGAAGCCTTCATAAGAACATCAGAAGAGCCCTGCTGGGTCAGACCACTGAGGTTCCATCTAGTCCAGCATCCTGCCTCACAGAGTGCCTAACCAGTTCTTCTAGAGGGCTAACAACAGGGCAGAGAGGCCGAGGCCTTCATAAGAACATCAGAAGAGCCCTGCTGGACCAGACCATGGGTCCATCTAGTCCAGCATCCTGCCTCACAGAGTGGCCAACCAGTTCCTCTGGATGGCCAACAACAGGGCAAAGAGGCCGAGGCCTTCGTTAGAACATAAGGAGAGCCCTGCTGGATCAGACCAGGGGTCCATCTAGTCCAGCATCCTGCCTCACAGAGTGGCCAAGCGGTTCCTCTGGACAGCCAACAACAGGGCAGAGAGGCTGAGGCCTTCCCCTGATGTTGCCTCACCTGGTTTAGTCCCGCTGCATGTGGAGATCTCCCAGAATTCCAGCTGATCACCTAATTACAGAGATCAGTTCTCCTGGAGAAAATGGCTACTTTGGAGGGTGGACTCTGTGGCCTCGTACCCAGGGGAGGTCCCTCGCCTCCCTTTCCTACCCCCTCCCTCCCCAGGTTCCACTTGCAAATCTCCAAGAATTCCCCAAGCCAGAGTTGGCAGCTGTAATGCCGAAGGATCAGGCAAGCGAGAGGATCCTTTGGCCAAAGTGGACTCAATGGGAA